CGTGATTCATTTTAAACGTATTATTGTTTATTCTGGTTCTGGTCCTGGCTGCAAACTCAACAAGAAAGTTTCGTATAGAGTTATGATGTATTAAAATATGAATAACACTCTGCTGAAATCTGTTAAGAGATGTGAATATTAGTAGTTGTTCTAGACTATGAACCAAACGTGACTAATGCATACATCCGCATTTTACAAGCCATAGTGAAAAGTAAAACATTTTCTGATAAACTTTTTTAAAATTTACTTTATAAAAAGGCAGGGTGGATACATTTCGAGCTTTTTTAGCATGTTTATGTTTTGTTTGATATCAACTTGATAGGATAGTTAAATGGGGGTCAAGGTGATTTGAATCCGACAAGCGACGAGGGTCCACATTCGTGTGAAGAATAACTGTACGAATATTCGGTTTTGCTGAGAAATGTGTTAGATATGATTAAAATAGCATTGACCAGAAATTATCACCTACCTACAAATTGATGTAATTAGAATAATTAAAAATTGCTGGAGCACGTGAACCTAAAATCTTTCACTACTAGTATTATTCCATTTTTATAAATTACAATATAATACACCCGGCAATGAGTTCTAAAAAATAGCCGAAAAATGAACAATTTACATACATTGGTATAGAATCTTCTCAATCTTGTTAAAATTTACCGTATGAAAAGCTTATATGTTTAACTTCAGTTTGTTTAAAAAACATGTGCAAAAATGAAAAAATAGTAGTACAATAAAAATAGACACTTGCATATGGTGCCATGGTGTAATTTATGTCAACAACATTCATGCTAAATTACAAAGCGGTTGTGGAAAAAGTCCAGCTGACGGTTTTGGAGAAGAAGTTATTTTTGTGAAATTATACCCTTTTTCATGTGCAGAAACTTGAAATAGATACCTTATATACATACTAAAATCATACTGTTTCTAAGTTGAGGTAACATGAATTCGTGTGATTCCTTTTCCTTATATGCGTCAAATAACTAAATAACACCCATTTTACGCGTTTTTTACTTCAGCTTGCGTACCATATTTTATTCAGAACCCTCTGCCCCGGCGGACGGCGTACGACATACGACGAACGGATGACTACAGGTCCGATGACAGCAGACGGAGATACAAACAGTAGAGAGTAAATATAGTCGATTACACCGCACATATCAAAATGGAGAGACGGACTAAAAAGATGAATGCAATTCTCATTGATTGAATTAGTTGCGTGTGATGCGACCTTGTACAAGTTCATGTTCACTGTCAACGAATATTTATAACATTCCTGTACTATATGTTTATAATGTCTACTTTAAACATGCAAGTTGTTGATCCTAAATGATACTACAATGCCAATTGAATCAAATGTGCCCACGTGATGTCGTTATGGCTACGAACGTAAATCTACCATTATTTGTCATTGTATATTTATAAAGCATGGTCGTAATTGAATAATTTTGATAATAAATTAGGTGTTTATTCGCGAAAAAAAATGTTCTGCATGGACATTTCATCAAGAAAAATCAAGATGGGTTTCCGGGGTGAATAATGTTTTAACTTTCGTGACTACTATACATTTCTTAACATTTTTCTTCACGGTAACGGTGCAACATTTATTGATGGGCTAAATATTACATATTATGGGCGGTCTAAATATTATCATGTTAAGTAACTGTGAAAAAAACAATCACGTAAAATGAGAGAGCTAAAAGAAACGTCCAATCTGGCGAAAAAAGAATAGAGCGGAAATTTCCGTAATTTAGTCTTCGAAGCAAATTTATCTTTGATGACGCCGTCGCTGACAATTTGAAAATATGTCAATATCCCAATATGTTGCTAGATTCAAACTATACTGATAAGTGTTTATTCGGAACTAATTAATTCAACAATAGTTTCACATATAATATAAATTGTGTTGAAAGTCGCATAACTATTTGGCGCGGTTTATAATATTCCAGCCTCAACGTATTCTTTGCACCATAAGTGTATTTCTCCACAGCCATCCTCTATATGCGTTCTAAGAACAATAGTGCATTGTGGGATTGATTGAAACCCTCGGTGTGCTAGCCTGGAAATGAGTATGATGTGCAGACAGTACCTTCAGACGTATGGTGATGTATTTTATGCTTTCTCTCCAGAATAAATATTGGCCTAAACGACGGTTGGTGACCCATAATGGAATCGGAATGAATTATTATATTATATTATATTGGTAATTTTACCTTTTTTTCAGAAACATTTGCTGAAACGGTAACTAGGATTGTTGTTAACAATGTTGTCGTGGCCAATGCAAAAAAAAATAACAATATTCACAATCATGCCACGGGGTTTTGCCGACACACTGAATTTGGCAGAGTAAATAATTTATTTTCGCTATTTTCGCTGAAGGGGTAAGTAAAAATAAAAACAGTCAATACACATTTTCCTACATTTTACATTCAACTCATCAAAAATCAGTGAAAATAAACTCCATACAACAATTAATTTTCGCGAAAATTAATTCCAGTCAAAATAAGTATTTTTCAATACCTCGTCCGATTTGTCACCTACGCTAGTGTCGAATAATCTAATGTCACACGCAACGTAATATTACCGTAATTGGTATAGTACAGGTGTGATGGTTCAAATACCAAAATGGCAACAGTAACAGAAAGACTTCCCTGGCGGCGATGATAAAATACGAACACGGAGCCAACAGATGAGGTTTCAACTGGTACTGGTATTATTATACTCTGCAAACATCAAGTACAATAACACAGTAAAACTCCACTACTCCAATAACTAGATACTTAAACTCCAATACAATTCAACGACATCTCCGATCTGATCTCAGTGCTGAACAACTCCCCTATATATACCCACACTGTCTATAAATAGACCATTACATCAGCATACATAATGAGTCTGGAACTTACTACACATTTCTAGAATGTTCCATTACCTTCTATTGCCTCCTACAGTGTTTTATTACCTATTCAACCAGTTTCTAAAAAAATCTAGAATATTCCACCCAGACACAGTACGGTTCTAGAACATTCTCAGTGACACGGAAGTGGTAAATAAGTCGTATGCGACATCCAACTGAACTGACAATATAAAACTCACTCCTTGTTTAGCGAAGTTAAAGTCTCCAACCCAGAGCTAAAAAAATCATTATCAACCTCACTTTCAGCCTAGTTTACTTACCGTCACTAATATATGTCGTTCCAATTTCCTATTTTTAATAACGCGAAAAATAAATGGTATGCTGCTCGTCGGAACAGGCTTCTCGTTATGCAAATATGCCGATATAGTGTTACTTATTATTACCAAACGCTTCAGCGTGGTATTAAGAGTTTGTTTTCAGGGTGGGTGATACCAAGGTGGAAAATGGGTGCACATATGGGGGTAATTCCTGGAATTACAATAGAGAGGGTTCAGGCCGAAACACAATATATAGTGTTTTCATGTTTCGTCTGATATTTCTGTGGTACTAGTACTCTTCTGCTGTAACTAATGCAAGATTTGTTTCAAATTTAGTGTATTGTGTGCACTTCAGGTTTATTCGTTTTTTGCTGAAAA